CCTATTTCAACCTGCAGTAGCAGCATGAGTTGTATCATCTTTGATAACTGGTTTGCTTACTTGTCCAAATTGGTATTTTCTAAGAAATGCAAAATATAAAAAGTCTACCCAAAAACTGAATAGCCACAGGGACCAGTTCAGAGCCTGCCTGATGTGTATACAAAGTTTCATAAGAAAGTTGCAATGGTTTATGAATTGTGGTCTGGAAACGAACCCCACCCTCATGTGAACCAACTTGTTGCCACGAAAATGCAAAAGAAATATTATAAACATTCCAGCATGGGAAAAGGCACCAATTGTGAGGGTGCCTAATGCTCATACAAATTTTCATGAGGAAATATTGAACACTGATAAGTTATGCTCTGGATACAAAATGTGACAGATGGACACACTGATGTCGTTTCTATATCGACATCTGCACTTAGTTTGGTTGAGGGGAAATTATCAACACACCAAATACATTACAAATACCATGTCTTTGCAGTCCGTCAAGAGGGATGATTCTATCATCTGATCACTTCCACTTCACATGTAGTTTTACCTCATATTCTAAACATATCATTACTTCTAATATCTTTCACATCTTCTGTCATTATTGCACAGGTTTACAGGACCCGATGACAGTTATTATCCCCCGCCCCTACAAAAATAAAATTATATTTTGTATAAAGTGTTGAAATTTGGACTTAGTCCCTGAACTGAATGGAAGCAGTGGGGTTTACCAGAGCAGAACTCAAAAACTACTCAAGATATCTTCATGAATCTTGGTACACACATTCACCATATCGTGTAGGTGTGTCTTTTGCTATTTATGATGATTCTGATTATCTATAAACAAATATATATATATATATATCTTATACATTTTGACATAGTACCCGAACTGAATGGAAGCAGTGGGGTTTACCAGACCAGAACTCGAAAACTACTCAAGACATCTTCATGAATCTTGGTACACACATTCACCATATCGTGTAGATGTGCCTTTTGCTCTTTATGATGATTCTGATTATCTCTAAATAAAATTATTTTTTTTTATAAATTTTGACATAGTCCCCGAGCTGAGTGAAAGCAGTGGGTTTCATTTCTGGAAAGAACTGGAAAATTACTTCAGAGATATCTTTCAGAAACTTGGTAAGCACATTCACCCTATAGTGCAGATAGACCTTTTGCTATTCATTCCCCCGAAAATTTGGTTGTATATAAATTTAATAAATTTAGACTTGAATTGAATGGAAGCAATTTTAACACTTACCTCAGTACTGCTATGTACTTCTCCATGAAACTTTGTACAATATCAGTCTATGGGTGTTATAGAGTCTTTGTTCTTTAAAAACTTCAAAATATGATTTATTTCTTATTCTAATTAAATGACACACCCCAGTAGACACTGCAACAAATCTATAAAAGGATACACAGTAGAAGTATTAGAAATTCACCAGGTTTTGAGTGGTCAGCATGCTTACAACGTTTGTACCTTATCTGTACCGTGCACCTTACTCTGGTAACTGCATGTACCTGTAAAGGGCTGCAACAATACCTGCCTGAAAACAATGCCCTACAATACAATTCATGATGTCTAAATGAGTTAATTGTGCAGTGCTCAAGTATACAAATATTCCTTGCCTTCACATACTGGAAGATGATTATAACCTGTGTGTTTATCATTACAGTCTTACTAAAGCAGATATTTGTACAAAGTTTATGGAGATGTTATATTAGCCCTTGTATTCAACCTCTTCCACAAGGAGGTGAGACTAACCGATAATTTTCATCACATTTGATTGCACATATTGTATTTAAGACTAGACAATGGGCGGGGGATATAGAGATGTTATATTAGCCCTTGTATTCAACCTCTTCCACAAGGAGGTGAGACAAACCGATAATTTTCATCACATTTGATTGCACATATTGTATTTAAGACTAGACAATGGGCGGGGGATATAGAGATGTTATATTAGCCCTTGTATTCAACCTCTTCCACAAGGAGGTGAGACAAACCGATAATTTTCATCACATTTGATTGCACATATTGTATTTAAGACTAGACAATGGGCGGGGGATATAGAGATGTTATATTAGCCCTTGTATTCAACCTCTTCCACAAGGAGGTGAGACAAACTGATAATTTACGTCACATTTGATTGCACATATCATTGTATTTAAGACTAGACAATGGGCGGGGGATATAGAGATGTTATATTAGCCCTTGTATTCAACCTCTCCCACAAGGAGGCGAGATAAACCGATAATTTACGTCACATTTGATTGCACATATTGTATTTAAGACTAGACAATGGGCGGGGGATATAGATGAGTTAGCCCTCTTGTTATGCGAAATGACATAAATCCTCCATACCTCATCACTCCCTGCAGATAGTTCGCACTGCTCATCTTCTTCAGAGCAAGAGCTTGCATCAACTGTATTCCCAGCTCTCAACAAATTCTTGAAGTGTACTGGAGGGCAGCCCAGCATGGCCTTGTATGGTGAACAACCTGTTAACATGGGTATTTATTTTTAAATGTCACAACTGCACTGTGGCAATCTTGATATTTCCAGAGTTCTATAAATTTGCAGAAACCTGATTGCAACGATATTTTGGGCAATATCTGGTCATCTATGAGCCATTATCGTTTCACTGTGTCATGATGTTTTTTGTTGGTCATTGCTTAAAAAAACATTCAATGTCGCACATCTACATTTACGATGCTAACAGTCTGAAAAGTATATGCTTACATTGTGTGCTTCACACTGTGTGACATATGCCCACATTAAATTAAAGCTATATATTCAAACGTTACCAAGAGCAGAATGAATGCTTTCGTTGTGCATCCTAGCATATGCTGGCAACATTTCCACCCCGGTAAAGCTTTCTGTGATCAAATTCCAGATGGCTTTTCCAATCCCAGTGTGATCGTTCACTCTGAAACAAATAAACACCTAAATAATAAACAGATTAGGCAGTGTCACATAAAAATGCCTTATTAGACAATTTAAAGGTAAAAAATGCACACATGTGTTATACCATGTATATTAAATAAATAGCAAAACAATTTCAATAATCATAAGAAACCTCTACTAAAAGCTGGGTCCATTGTACGATTCCAACAATATCATGAGTATGTGTTATGAATCAATATAAAATAGTGATAGTAGCAGCTGTTTGCGAAGGTTAGTGTATGCTGCCCCACCAGTGTCATCTGTCACACACACATGCAAGTCAAACACAATCTTTTTGGCTTGTGGCTCTGCCCTAAAGATGACATGTTCCAAATAACATCAACATTAATGTTCTTCCTATTCAGTATCTACATCTATTACCGTAACCTTCATAGTGCACACTTTTTAATTAAAATTGGTCACCCATCTTTCCCTGAGATTGGGGATGGTGAGTTCGACTTCGTACAGTCATTGTTCCCATTTCAAAAAATTCAAATAAACAGAAACTCTTATTGATTGTGCAGGTGGTACATGGTGATAGTCTTAACATAAACTGCATATAGAGTTACTGTTTTTCATAATGACTGCCATATCAGCCTTTCAAATCACAAGGTTCACTGAAATGTGATCATATTGTGGTATAAATAGTAACTAAAGCCTAAAACAGTCAGGCAATGTAAACATGTAAACCTTAATTCTGTGCATTTTTTTAGTTTTTCAGAATACTAGGTTATCATATTGATTGTAAAGAGGGAACGGAAAACATTTCCCACAATCACATCTTGGGAAAGAACTTTTCAAAATGTCTTTACCATGTTTACTACTTGCAGAAATGGTCCCTATTTTAGTGTCAAGTATTCATACAGAACTGTAAAGGAATGTCATACTCACTTTAAAAAGTACGCATCATAGGCTCACGGTAATGTGACAATCATAAAAATGACTAAGTTATTAAGCATAGGTTGTAGAAGTAGAAGGAGCCTTGATATACATATATATTCATTATTATAGTTGTTTGTCATTTGAATAATTAATGAATTTTAATTATGTACATGACTGGATTGCAGTTCATGATATATCAATAGAATTACAGGTAACAAATAACCTATTCATATATTCATTTTCTTTGATGGTTGTCTTTTTTCACTGTGTTGAACTGACACTTCCACAAAAGTAATTGAAAGGTTACTCAACAGTTAACTTATTTCAATTCAATAATTTGTGTGGAGGCTGGATATGTTTTCAGCTTACAGCTGCAAAACCAGATTTTCCTCACATAAGTCTATGAACCTGTGTAGAAACCGATTAGTTCTAAGCTTAAGAGGGAATCTGATCTTGCATGATTTGCAAGTATGTCAAGAAAATCTCAAGTATGTCCAGTTGAACACTCTATATGTGGCCAACAACAAAAGAAGTAAAGAACCTCTTCATCCACAGATCATACCTTAAGTTGGTTGGTTGGTGGGTTTGTTGTTTAACGCCGCACTCAGCAATATTCCAGCTATATGACGGCAGTCTGTAAATAATAGAGTCTGGACCAGACAATCCCGTGATTAATATCATGACCATCGATCCACGCAATTGGGATACGATGACATGCATCAACCAAGTCAGCGAGCCTGACCACCCGACATACCTTAAGGAAACTTGGGCTAGTATTTGAACAGTTTCATTTTGATTACTATTTTTTTTACAATAAAAGACAATTATGTCTCAACATAACGTGACCCACAATGTAGTGCTACTAATGCCTCAAAAAGAAACAATTTGAAATATTGGAAAATATGATACTTTCATATTTTTTTAAAATTTGAAGTATACAAGTCCAAATTGAGAAACAGAATTTTATTTCTATCCTATGAACATGGTGCTGCAAATACTCAGGTTTGCAGGTCTTTTCTTCAAGACTTTCAAAATATTTATTATTACCAAAACAAGATTTGATATGAGTAAATTAGTATCATACATGGCAATTATCACTGCTAATTACCTGAGATATGTCAATATTAAAAAGGTATGCTGAAATGTATATGCCTAAAGCAATCATATTACTAACCTGCAATGTTTAACTGTCATCAGGACAGATAATTGTAGCGCCAATCCAACAGAAATATAACAAGGAGACACGATTCAATGTTACACACATGGATTGTTGATACAGAACAGTACCTGGAACAGTTGAAAAGTCATTCACATTCCATAAACAACCACATACAGCAAATTTATATTCTTAGCTACTAACTTCAGGAAGCAATGGTCATTGGCCTTTTCAATGAAACAAGTGTTTTCATTGGCTAATTCATCATGACTGACAGAAAGGAGGAAAGAGCAATACCAGATGAGTGACCATAAACCCTGGTACCGAGGATGGCATAATGTTGCATCCTACACACACCAACATGCCAGCTCTCTGTATTAATGAGATCAAAAGCATGCTGTGTATTGAATGGAAGAACACAGTGCCCCTATGTGAGTGCACCATACAAACATAAAGGCGTGGAAATATACAGGTATATGTGTGAGAGGGAGGTAGAGGACCTAAATTAGCAACCCTAGGTATGGGTAATTTATTATGGGGGAGTGTGGGGTTGAGGTTAGGACCATATTTAGATGAGACTATTTCCTAATTCCTCGTCCTGAGTGAGAAGTTAGCATGTAATGTTCTACTTAATGTTAACTGCCTCTGAATTAAGTTCTCTATTAGGAAGTCATTCTTGGTCCAGAAACTTAGCATACTACTACACAATGTTTTTCACCCAATTCTGACAGAACATCATAGCACAGCAAACAGGGATTCCAGGTTGGGTATCCAGCAAGGTAGATCTAATAATACCTCCACTGACAAATACAGGGAGTAATAGCTACAGAGTACATTGATTTAGTGCAGTGACTGCACACAGAGAGGCAGCTCCACACACTGGACTTCAGCCATGCATGCCTACACTGTTAACACAGATTCACTGACAAATACAGGGAGTAATAGCTACAGAGTACATTGATTTAGTGCAGTGACTGCACACAGAGAGGCAGCTCCACACACTGGACTTCAGCCATGCATGCCTACACTGTTAACACAGATTCACTGACAAATACAGGGAGTAATAGCTACAGAGTACATTGATTTAGTGCAGTGACTGCACACAGAGAGGCAGCTCCACACACTGGACTTCAGCCATGCATGCCTACACTGTTAACACAGATTCACTGACAAATACAGGGAGTAATAGCTACAGAGTACATTGATTTAGTGCAGTGACTGCACACAGAGAGGCAGCTCCACACACTGGACTTCAGCCATGCATGCCTACACTGTTAACACAGATTCACTGACAAATACAGGGAGTAATAGCTACAGAGTACATTGATTTAGTGCAGTGACTGCACACAGAGAGGCAGCTCCACACACTGGACTTCAGCCATGCATGCCTACACTGTTAACACAGATTCACTGACAAATACAGGGAGTAATAGCTACAGAGTACATTGATTTAGTGCAGTGACTGCACACAGAGAGGCAGCTCCACACACTGGACTTCAGCCATGCATGCCTACACTGTTAACACAGATTCACTGACAAATACAGGGAGTAATAGCTACAGAGTACATTGATTTAGTGCAGTGACTGCACACAGAGAGGCAGCTCCACACACTGGTCTCCACCATGCATGCCTACACTGTTAACACAGATTCACTGACAAATACAGGGAGTAATAGCTACAGAGTACATTGATTTAGTGCAGTGACTGCACACAGAGAGGCAGCTCCACACACTGGACTTCAGCCATGCATGCCTACACTGTTAACACAGATTCACTGACAAATACAGGGAGTAATAGCTTCAGAGTACATTGATTTAGTGCAGTGACTGCACACAGAGAGGCAGCTCCACACACTGGTCTTCAGCCATGCATGCCTACACTGTTAACACAGATTCACTGACAAATACAGGGAGTAATAGCTACAGAGTACATTGATTTAGTGCAGTGACTGCACACAGAGAGGCAGCTCCACACACTGGTCTTCAGCCATGCATGCCTACACTGTTAACACAGATTCACTGACAAATACAGGGAGTAATAGCTACAGAGTACATTGATTTAGTGCAGTGACTGCACACAGAGAGGCAGCTCCACACACTGGTCTTCAGCCATGCATGCCTACACTGTTAACACAGATTCACTGACAAATACAGGGAGTAATAGCTACAGAGTACATTGATTTAGTGCAGTGACTGCACACAGAGAGGCAGCTCCACACACTGGTCTCCACCATGCATGCCTACACTGTTAACACAGATTCACTGACAAATACAGGGAGTAATAGCTTCAGAGTACATTGATTTAGTGCAGTGACTGCACACAGAGAGGCAGCTCCACACACTGGTCTTCAGCCATGCATGCCTACACTGTTAACACAGATTCACTGACAAATACAGGGAGTAATAGCTTCAGAGTACATTGATTTAGTGCAGTGACTGCACACAGAGAGGCAGCTCCACACACTGGTCTCCACCATGCATGCCTACACTGTTAACACAGATTCACTGACAAATACAGGGAGTAATAGCTACAGAGTACATTGATTTAGTGCAGTGACTGCACACAGAGAGGCAGCTCCACACACTGGACTTCAGCCATGCATGCCTACACTGTTAACACAGATTCACTGACAAATACAGGGAGTAATAGCTACAGAGTACATTGATTTAGTGCAGTGACTGCACACAGAGAGGCAGCTCCACACACTGGACTTCAGCCATGCATGCCTACACTGTTAACACAGATTCACTGACAAATACAGGGAGTAATAGCTACAGAGTACATTGATTTAGTGCAGTGACTGCACACAGAGAGGCAGCTCCACACACTGGTCTTCAGCCATGCATGCCTACACTGTTAACACAGATTCACTGACAAATACAGGGAGTAATAGCTACAGAGTACATTGATTTAGTGCAGTGACTGCACACAGAGAGGCAGCTCCACACACTGGTCTTCAGCCATGCATGCCTACACTGTTAACACAGATTCACTGACAAATACAGGGAGTAATAGCTACAGAGTACATTGATTTAGTGCAGTGACTGCACACAGAGAGGCAGCTCCACACACTGGACTTCAGCCATGCATGCCTACACTGTTAACACAGATTCACTGACAAATACAGGGAGTAATAGCTACAGAGTACATTGATTTAGTGCAGTGACTGCACACAGAGAGGCAGCTCCACACACTGGTCTTCAGCCATGCATGCCTACACTGTTAACACAGATTCACTGACAAATACAGGGAGTAATAGCTACAGAGTACATTGATTTAGTGCAGTGACTGCACACAGAGAGGCAGCTCCACACACTGGACTTCAGCCATGCATGCCTACACTGCTAACACAGATTCACTGACAAATACAGGGAGTAATAGCTTCAGAGTACATTGATTTAGTGCAGTGACTGCACACAGAGAGGCAGCTCCACACACTGGACTTCAGCCATGCATGCCTACACTGTTAACACAGATTCACTGACAAATACAGGGAGTAATAGCTACAGAGTACATTGATTTAGTGCAGTGACTGCACACAGAGAGGCAGCTCCACACACTGGTCTCCACCATGCATGCCTACACTGTTAACACAGATTCACTGACAAATACAGGGAGTAATAGCTTCAGAGTACATTGATTTAGTGCAGTGACTGCACACAGAGAGGCAGCTCCACACACTGGTCTTCAGCCATGCATGCCTACACTGTTAACACAGATTCACTGACAAATACAGGGAGTAATAGCTACAGAGTACATTGATTTAGTGCAGTGACTGCACACAGAGAGGCAGCTCCACACACTGGACTTCAGCCATGCATGCCTACACTGTTAACACAGATTCACTGACAAATACAGGGAGTAATAGCTACAGAGTACATTGATTTAGTGCAGTGACTGCACACAGAGAGGCAGCTCCACACACTGGTCTTCAGCCATGCATGCCTACACTGTTAACACAGATTCACTGACAAATACAGGGAGTAATAGCTACAGAGTACATTGATTTAGTGCAGTGACTGCACACAGAGAGGCAGCTCCACACACTGGACTTCAGCCATGCATGCCTACACTGTTAACACAGATTCACTGACAAATACAGGGAGTAATAGCTACAGAGTACATTGATTTAGTGCAGTGACTGCACACAGAGAGGCAGCTCCACACACTGGTCTTCAGCCATGCATGCCTACACTGTTAACACAGATTCACTGACAAATACAGGGAGTAATAGCTACAGAGTACATTGATTTAGTGCAGTGACTGCACACAGAGAGGCAGCTCCACACACTGGTCTTCAGCCATGCATGCCTACACTGTTAACACAGATTCACTGACAAATACAGGGAGTAATAGCTACAGAGTACATTGATTTAGTGCAGTGACTGCACACAGAGAGGCAGCTCCACACACTGGTCTCCACCATGCATGCCTACACTGTTAACACAGATTCACTGACAAATACAGGGAGTAATAGCTTCAGAGTACATTGATTTAGTGCAGTGACTGCACACAGAGAGGCAGCTCCACACACTGGTCTTCAGCCATGCATGCCTACACTGTTAACACAGATTCACTGACAAATACAGGGAGTAATAGCTACAGAGTACATTGATTTAGTGCAGTGACTGCACACAGAGAGGCAGCTCCACACACTGGTCTCCACCATGCATGCCTACACTGTTAACACAGATTCACTGACAAATACAGGGAGTAATAGCTACAGAGTACATTGATTTAGTGCAGTGACTGCACACAGAGAGGCAGCTCCACACACTGGTCTCCACCATGCATGCCTACACTGTTAACACAGATTCACTGACAAATACAGGGAGTAATAGCTACAGAGTACATTGATTTAGTGCAGTGACTGCACACAGAGAGGCAGCTCCACACACTGGTCTTCAGCCATGCATGCCTACACTGTTAACACAGATTCACTGACAAATACAGGGAGTAATAGCTACAGAGTACATTGATTTAGTGCAGTGACTGCACACAGTCAGGCAGCTCCACACACCGGTCTTCAGCCATGCATGCCTACACTGTTAACACAGATTCACTGACAAATACAGGGAGTAATAGCTACAGAGTACATTGATTTAGTGCAGTGACTGCACACAGAGAGGCAGCTCCACACACTGGTCTCCACCATGCATGCCTACACTGTTAACACAGATTCACTGACAAATACAGGGAGTAATAGCTACAGAGTACATTGATTTAGTGCAGTGACTGCACACAGAGAGGCAGCTCCACACACTGGTCTCCACCATGCATGCCTACACTGTTAACACAGATTCACTGACAAATACAGGGAGTAATAGCTTCAGAGTACATTGATTTAGTGCAGTGACTGCACACAGAGAGGCAGCTCCACACACTGGTCTTCAGCCATGCATGCCTACACTGTTAACACAGATTCACTGACAAATACAGGGAGTAATAGCTACAGAGTACATTGATTTAGTGCAGTGACTGCACACAGAGAGGCAGCTCCACACACTGGTCTCCACCATGCATGCCTACACTGTTAACACAGATTCACTGACAAATACAGGGAGTAATAGCTACAGAGTACATTGATTTAGTGCAGTGACTGCACACAGAGAGGCAGCTCCACACACTGGACTTCAGCCATGCATGCCTACACTGTTAACACAGATTCACTGACAAATACAGGGAGTAATAGCTACAGAGTACATTGATTTAGTGCAGTGACTGCACACAGAGAGGCAGCTCCACACACTGGTCTCCACCATGCATGCCTACACTGTTAACACAGATTCACTGACAAATACAGGGAGTAATAGCTTCAGAGTACATTGATTTAGTGCAGTGACTGCACACAGAGAGGCAGCTCCACACACTGGTCTTCAGCCATGCATGCCTACACTGTTAACACAGATTCACTGACAAATACAGGGAGTAATAGCTACAGAGTACATTGATTTAGTGCAGTGACTGCACACAGAGAGGCAGCTCCACACACTGGTCTCCACCATGCATGCCTACACTGTTAACACAGATTCACTGACAAATACAGGGAGTAATAGCTACAGAGTACATTGATTTAGTGCAGTGACTGCACACAGAGAGGCAGCTCCACACACTGGTCTCCACCATGCATGCCTACACTGTTAACACAGATTCACTGACAAATACAGGGAGTAATAGCTTCAGAGTACATTGATTTAGTGCAGTGACTGCACACAGAGAGGCAGCTCCACACACTGGTCTTCAGCCATGCATGCCTACACTGTTAACACAGATTCACTGACAAATACAGGGAGTAATAGCTACAGAGTACATTGATTTAGTGCAGTGACTGCACACAGAGAGGCAGCTCCACACACTGGTCTCCACCATGCATGCCTACACTGTTAACACAGATTCACTGACAAATACAGGGAGTAATAGCTACAGAGTACATTGATTTAGTGCAGTGACTGCACACAGAGAGGCAGCTCCACACACTGGACTTCAGCCATGCATGCCTACACTGTTAACACAGATTCACTGACAAATACAGGGAGTAATAGCTACAGAGTACATTGATTTAGTGCAGTGACTGCACACAGAGAGGCAGCTCCACACACTGGACTTCAGCCATGCATGCCTACACTGTTAACACAGATTCACTGACAAATACAGGGAGTAATAGCTACAGAGTACATTGATTTAGTGCAGTGACTGCACACAGAGAGGCAGCTCCACACACTGGTCTCCACCATGCATGCCTACACTGTTAACACAGATTCACTGACAAATACAGGGAGTAATAGCTACAGAGTACATTGATTTAGTGCAGTGACTGCACACAGAGAGGCAGCTCCACACACTGGACTTCAGCCATGCATGCCTACACTGTTAACACAGATTCACTGACAAATACAGGGAGTAATAGCTACAGAGTACATTGATTTAGTGCAGTGACTGCACACAGAGAGGCAGCTCCACACACTGGACTTCAGCCATGCATGCCTACACTGTTAACACAGATTCACTGACAAATACAGGGAGTAATAGCTACAGAGTACATTGATTTAGTGCAGTGACTGCACACAGAGAGGCAGCTCCACACACTGGACTTCAGCCATGCATGCCTACACTGTTAACACAGATTCACTGACAAATACAGGGAGTAATAGCTACAGAGTACATTGATTTAGTGCAGTGACTGCACACAGAGAGGCAGCTCCACACACTGGTCTTCAGCCATGCATGCCTACACTGTTAACACAGATTCACTGACAAATACAGGGAGTAATAGCTACAGAGTACATTGATTTAGTGCAGTGACTGCACACAGAGAGGCAGCTCCACACACTGGTCTCCACCATGCATGCCTACACTGTTAAAACACTGACCATCGTTTATATGCTTTAACAGTTGCATCTCACCTGGCAAGCTGGCAGAACCTCTTGAGGTGCACACTGACCGTCTGCCTTGAGGAGCCGAGCAAGCCGCCCATTGTTGCTGTAATGGGAGAGAGAGTGAATGAAACGTTTCAGTCTAGATGGGGTTGTACATGGTCAAAGGAATCAGGAGGGGCCTATGCCCATGACTGTCTGGGGGGTCCAGGAAGGGGGCACCCAATCATTGTAGACTTAAGTCCTTAACAAGTAGAGAAAGATGTATTGTATAAGTATGGAGCTTGGTGACAAGGGTTTTTTACTGTGTTGGGTATGAAAGTTACAGCAAAGATATGTCAATGTTTTGATCAGGGCTACTGTGGTGCACCACATAAGCCACGCCCACTCATGAATATTGCAGACTTAAGACCATAGTAGGTTTAAGGGCACAATACGTAGGGCTTGTCAACTTTCTTTCCTGCAGCATTGTGGCCTGGGTAGGTTGGTTGGTTGGTTGGTTGGTTGGTTGTTTAACACCGCACTCGGTTTTTCCAGCTATATGACGGCGGTCTGTAAATAATCGAGTCTGGATCAGACAATCCAGTGATTAATGTCATGAGCGTCGATCCACGCCATTGGGATCAATGACATGCATCAACCAAGTCAGCGAGCCTGACCCCCTGATCCCATTAGTCGCCTTTTACGACAAGCATAGTCACCTTTTACAGCAAGCATGGGTTGCTGAAGACCTATTCTACCCCGGAATCTTCACGGGTCTGGCCTGGGTAGGTAGCAGCTTTGCTTTGCGGTGAAGGGCGGAGATCAATCTGTACAGGGTCAGCTCCTGTTCACCAGACTTGGAGTTAAGGCGTCTATGCCAACCTGTGAGTAAAGAAGATATGGAATCAAAATGAATTCATAGAGCGAACTATTGATTTTAACATGATCAATATCTGTGGCCAGGCCATTGTATGTAACAGTGTGGACTGGTGGTCAGGTCACTGTATGTAACAGTGTGATCTGGTGGTGAGGTCACTGAAAGTAACAGTGTGATCTGGTGGTGAGGTCAGGGTATGTAACAGTGTGATCTGGTGGTGAGGTCATTGTAGTCAACAGACTAGTTGACTATTTACAGGTCATGGTCATACAGCTGGAATATTGCTGAGAGTGGTGTTAAACCACAAACAAAAAACGGAATAATGTTGTTGGTTTGAAGTGAGAGGACAATGTAATATTCAAAGGAACGTTATGGGACAATGACTAAAGTCCAATGTTAAGCATCACCACAAATATTGAGATCTAAAACAGGGTTTGAAATTAACCATGAGACTCAAAGGGTACATCATCCCGGGGTAGAATAGGTCTTCAGCAACCCATACTATGTTTGTCGTAAAAGCTGACTAACAGGATCGGGTGGTCAGGCTCGCTATCTTGGTTGATACATGTCATCAATCCCAATTGCTTAGATCGATACTCATGATGTCAATCACTGGATTGTCTCGATTTTTTTACAGACCACTGTCATATAGCTGGAATATTGCTGAGTGCGGTGATAAACAACAAACAAACAAAACAAACAAAGGGTACTTGTCATATGAAAAGTTGAAAATTTACGGGGGGGGGGGGGGGTCCTTAATTCAAATTCTATAGCAACAAACCTGGAGGACCCCAGGACCACCTTTGTTTCCAACATATAAGAAAACAATTCATAACATTTAGGACTTCCGTTAATTTCAAACACTGCCAAAGATTTTTGCCATTTCTTATAAGAAAAGTAATTCATAAATTATACTGGCATGAAAAACATATATGATTTAAGGTATCATCTTCCTATACTGGTCCCTATCTTGTCAAAAGAAACTAATGGGATTGGGATGTCAGATTCGCTTATTCAGTTTATGCATGTCCTGGCATTCTGATTAATTGATGTTCATGATTTCAATCACCGGAATATTATTATTACAGACGCTGAATATAGCTGAAATACTGCTGAATGAGGCATTAAACAACAAATAAAACTGGCATGTGCAGCTTTGAGCCCTATAACTCTGCAGCTTCCTCAGCTGTTTCTTGGAAGGTTTGAAAAAGTTTACTTTAATTTAGGTTAAAATCAATTAAAAAAAATAAGTTCTATTATAAGTCCCATTGTATATTTTACATCATATTTTGGTCTGTGAGAAATAAAGTCTGAAAGATTCTTTCAGATTTTTTACCATTTTATTTTGGAAGTAATTTTTTTTTTTTATTCTCCATGCAGGAACAGCTCGGAGTCAAATGTGTTTCTATATAGCATATCAAGTTTACTGCTTTCTGTGCCTAGTGGATATTGAGTCGTAGTTTTTAAAGATTACATATAATTTTACGAAGGCAAAGTTACGGTCAAAACATGCTATTTACATACCATAGTTATTGGCCACTTCAAATATATTTAATTATCTGTACAAATAACACAGGGTCATGGCTAACAATTGCGTGCTTGCCATTTAAACCAAAGAGGAAAAGAGAGTTTAGGCTGACAATATAAGAGAGATATCACGCGATTTTAAACATCTTTGTGTTTTTTTATGAGAAATTGTCAAAACAACCCAAATTCACACTGGATACACTTACGGCGCATCTGCGAATACAAAAATGCGGTTCATTCACAATTAGCGGTCATAATATATTTACGAACATTGCTCCGTTATTTCCTGAGAGGAGAGAGGATTCACACCAATGAGCATGTCTTGCCTCGGTCGCACCCAATGCCCGTTGGTGCAGTCGAATGCAAGTATTGCTAGATCCGTGTCTACAACTTTATCTATAAATGCAAAATATCCTTTAAAAATATAAATAGTGAAGACACTACCTTATGTATCCACGGGCTGATAAGGTATCCCATGACATATCACATTTTGCTTACAAACAGCTAACATCGTCGTTATCATTTCTACAATTCACTTCCTGGTCGCCATTTTGTTCAAGAAAGTTCAAGGTCGTGTTGGAACGTGCTACACTAACGCTTAGTCTCTGAAAATATATAATTTTGAAAGAAACAACTCCATTTAAATTGAAAAGGAGCCCAAGTGAGATGGGAGATTCCTGAACCTGAGGACAATCTAGATTTGCTATTGCATTGCAGAAAGGGCTGGGCGGAAGGGAAAAGAATATGGTTCAGGGACTGTACGTGAGACATTCTAGGATCGCGCTTTTATCCACACATACAAATAATGTTAATTTTGTCAATATCTCTATTTTCTTCTTTTTCATTTACAGTTTTATACAATAGATCGAGGTAGAGATGCAGTTTAATATTATTCCACCACTATGCGTTTTGCAATTTCTATTTTAAAACAGTGTCAATAGATATCTGTGTGTGTATATTAGAACAATGTGTGACTTACAGTATGAAAAATACCGTAATTTCGAGTTTATTCTACTTACTTTCTGAACCTGTCAGGTTTACACAGAATATTAGATTTGGAGCCAGTCTCTATGTTATTATGCAAGTTTCGACACAACACAACAAGTATTTTGGGGGATCATGTAATCATGCCATAAAGTGTTAAACACGAATACAGAATTTGCCATGTACAATTTGTATTTGTTTGTTTGTTTGTTTAACGTCTCCAGCGGAATATATGGATGCGCATGTGACAGCTCTGTAGACCATCTGGTTTACATTTATATATCGGGTGTTTTCTGCTGGCACTCGGATGCCTTATTGTGTTTATAAATGGGGATTGCAGTGCTTAGAAAAAGGACAGGATGGGTCATGTGAAGCTGTGATTTTTCAGTCAGCCCTTCACAACATGTGTAAGGCCATGCCAAACAATACTTTTTCACTCAATACCTTGCTGTCCAGGACATTTAGCTGGTCCCAAAGTGTACGATTTTTTCTTCAACTTGAAAGATCGTATGCTGCACACGCACGCACGCACGTACATATGTATTCAGTGGATTTCATATGAAACCGTGAGAAAGCTATGTTACATGATACAACTAGATCAACATTTCCAAAGCACATGGATTTTCATTTGATTCTGAAGCATTGTTTCAGTATCCCACCATTCATTATCATCATAGACTGCTGACTGTATCCTCCCCTCGGGGTAGACCTGTTGTGGTATTTTTCCACTGGAGGTTGTGAGGTCCTGGAGGAGGTGGTAATATACAGTCCGGTTCCAAAACGGACACAAATATTATCAGTGAAGCATTCCAGGTACATCCGAGTTCTGTTTCTAATATGACAAACTGATGGTGAAAGACAATGGAACGAACAGGCACAATTCACCAGTCATGACTCTGGTCACATCCCTAGCAATTATCACCAACGGTAATACTCACACTGACAACAGCGCAACATTGTCCGCCTTTAATTTTAATTGGAACTAAATACCGGGCCATCAAATGATATCTTGTTTGGCTAAATGCGAGTCCTATTTCATAAACATAATTTCGAAGACATACATTATTTACATTAGGGATCGGCCCGTCCAGCCTTCTATTTATAAACCCAAAGAATTTTCAACACTTTCCGTGAATCTTAGGAAACGGTCGTAAAATATCTCTGGCTTGTGTATAATTATGTTCTTAAAAATGAGATTCTTAAAGCATTGTGATTTATTTGGTGTTTCACTCCTGAGCCTATAGCTACGAACGATTGATCCATTTAAATGTAAAATCAACAGTATTTTGTGTGTGAAATCGGGGGAGGGGGTTAACATTAGTACATTTGTCTGCAACAAATTCATGAAAATGAGTTGGTAGCATTAATGCGAGAAACGTTGGATTACGCTTTGGGATATGTTTGTTTGTTTGTTTTTTATCGTCGCACTCAGCAATATTCCAGCTGTAAGGCGGTGGTCTGTAAATGATCGAATCTGAGTCGGACAATCCAGTGATTGCTTTAACAAGCTTTTTTTGCGCTGCTTTTAGCAATATTCCAGCAATATGATAAAGGAAGACACCAGAAATGGGCTTCACACATTGAGCCCATGTGGGGATTCGAAACAGCCTTCGCCATGACCAGCAAACACTTTAACCAATAGACTAGGGTAGATGTCAGGATGTTTATGCATATCTTGAAATAACGAGGTAGAAAAGGAATTCTATATTTTTATATCATATATATTCAGAATTGTTATTTATAAAAATATACTTGGAAGATTTCGAGGATATGATTACATGTTTGGAATTGATGCGTTTGCTGATATACAAACCATGCATGATAGAACGATATTTGTAAATAATCAAATTTTAGTGGTCTTCTATTTAGTTTTGAACGTTGGGACGAAAATAGATATTTGTCAGTAAAATTAGCTAAATAAGCATAACAAATTGTCTCAATTGTTTGCATACATATGAAATAAAATATCAATACTTTATCAGGTGACGTAGAGTAGCAAGAATAGTTTTGCTACACAATGACAAAACGCCAATCTCGATTATCAGCCAGGTGTAAAAGGTAAAAAACGGTGCAAATCATATGAATGCATCACAGACAATCAAAGGGATTTGAAAAGTTGGAGAAATTACAGTTGCATAGCACCCGCAAAAAACTAGTATGCCTGGGAAGGCAATATCCCCCGAGTAAATACATGTATGGTACACATACTTACACCAATGATACTATGGTGACTTTTTATAGTGTAAACTACCTACCAATTTGGAGTATTATGTGTCTATTATAACCCTACTTCGTTTATTTCACAAAAAGAGGACCGCCTCCATCTAGTGGCAGAGCGTCCGCCCAGAGAGAGGAGGGTCCGGGTTCGATCCAGGCCACGTCATACCAAAATATGCTATAAGATGGTACTTGTTGTTACCCTGTCTGGCGCTCGCTTCGGATACATTCATAAAATAATTATTGT